ACAAACAAACAAACAAACAATCAAACAGAAGTCTCGAGTTCAAATTCCAGTGAAGTGGGGATTTTTTATAACTTTTTAAATTATTAACTCATCATATTTAGAGCAATATATCATAATATAGGGAAAAGCTACAATAAAATAACAGTTTACATTAGGGATTTGCGCTATATCTTTTAGCAATCGATTAGAAATATTGGATGTCACAGTGATTAGAAACGTTTGACTATCATATGAAATCTCACGTTCACATCCCACTTAAATTAGGCTTTTATGTTATTTTTGTTATAATATTTACAACAAGATCTTAGAATATTCGGAAAGTTATAGATTAAATCATGAATAATATAATATTACATAAGAAACAACAGCGAGTGTATATGTGGGAAAACAACTTAAATATCTTTTCAACTCAATAGATGGCGAAACAATACATTATCATTGATGTTTTTCCTTTAGGTTTGTTTGTTTGTTTTTGAATTTCGCGCAAAGCTACACGAGGGCTATCTGCGCTAGCCGTCCCTAATTTAGCAGCGTAAGACTAGAGGGAAGGCAGCTAGTCATCACCACCCACCGCCAACTCTTGGGCTACTCTTTTACCAACGAATAGTGGGATTGACCGTCACATAATAACGCCCTCACAGCTGAAAGGGCGAGCATATTTGGTGTGACGGGGATAGTCCAATAGAAACATACTTACATCACAATTTCTGAATACGCCTATTTCAAAATTCACTAATTTATTTATTAGAAAAGTTGAAGAAAACCAATAATATAATATAACGTTCTTTATAAAGGTTTTTGTAAAAGGAACAATTGCCGAAGGCAGGAAATACAAGCAGTCCAGATATTTTCGTTAACAAATAATAATACGGTAAGCAGTCCATGAAGAAGAGTTGTCAATTAATCATGTTATAACTTGAACTTGAAAGCCTAAAAAGTCCAGAAATTTAGCGAAACATTAAAATACCTCCGCCTGAAAGATTCAGACAATAACTAAACTTTCGATTTCTTCCGTCATTCGATTTTTTAAGAAGTTAGCACAGACAACAAGCAATTCAATTAATCCTATTTGTAAAAGTAAACTTCCTGGTATTCTGTACAAGTATTTGACTTATTTTATCTAGAATGTTCGGTTGATGAAGAACTAGTTGCAAGTTCTAAAAACTTCCAGGCCTGGCATGACATGGTGTTTAGGGCAGTCAACTTGCAATCTGTGGGTCGTGGGTTTGAATCCCCGACACCGAACATGCTCACCCTTTCAGCCGTGGGGCCGTTAATACGTTATGCTCAATCCCACTGACAGTTGGTAAAAGAGTTGCTTAACATTTGGCGTTGAGTGGTGTTGACTACCTGCTTTCCCTCTACTCTATCACTGCACAATTAGGGACGGCTAGCGCTGATAGCCCTCGAGTAGCTTTGCGTGAATTTTAAGAAAAACAAATAAACGTAAAATAAACATATGGAAAGACTTCGGCCACCGACGTAAAAGTTAAAATTGGGAGCCACAAACTATTCGCTCCTCAGTGAGTAGCTTCAGAAAAATGTTTCGTTTTTTTTTAAAAAGTTAACCCTTTCGTTACGGTAATTGGCTGTATGTATATATGTCACGGTTTTTTGTGGGGTGGGTGGGGGGCCAAGTGTATTACAGAGCAGAACCCCCTAAAAATTTTGAGTGACGTTTATCTAGAATAGGATTATGTGTGGAAAGTAACACTGAAGAAAACTTTGATAAGAATCCTTTAAAAATACATCGAAAATCTGTTAAAAGTGTTTTCTTTCTTTTTTTTCTAGTAGCGGAGCTTCATCTCGAGAAGAACAGCAACAGAAATCTTAAAATTAGAATTGTAACGTTGGAGACCAGTAGGTGGTGCTTGTCGTTACTGACTGCAGGTACCTTTATAGAAAAAAAAAATAAATAAATATAACTTTGGTAAGAAAAATATAAGTTATTAAGAGAATGAAGTTTATAATTGTTGAAATAAGAAGTTCTATTGAAGTATTCTCCACTTCACATTAAGCTTGACTTTATAAAATTTGAAGTTTGAACCCTTAAAACATCACAGCGACATACAGAGAGTGGCGATTTTGAATAACAACATAAAACATAATTACTTTTTTTGTTTAATAATGTAAATGTTCGAAATACTTGCCAGTATTAACTTCGAATTAAAAAGTACTTCAGGGTTAATGACCAGCAATTCGAACATTTCCCTTTAAAAAACAAAAACTTAATTACTTTTATTGTTATTTACAATCTCTATGGGATTCAACTTTTGTGTCACTCTGTATAATCGGTTTTTATTAATTACTTTTCTTCTATATTTTATTGCCCCCCAGTAGCACAGCGGTATGTCTGCGGACTTACGACGCTAGAATCCGGGTTTAGATACCCGTGGTGGGCCCATTGTGTAGCTTTGTGCTTAATTACAAACAAACAAACTATACTTTATTAATTTTCTATAATATTAAACAAAAATGTACAGAGACTAAATATGACACACATATCACTGTGTTATATGTTATATCCTGATATAATAAAGCTGTTATTATAGGGTTTTTTTACGCAATTCTATTACGCTTTAAATACCGAGTCAAATGACCACAGAAGTCAAAATTACGTAATTTTATAACTATAGAGAATGGTCATTTATTTTTATTTTTTCTAATAAATAAAACCCCAGCAAGTACTTACATCTCCCCAGTCTTTCTTCCAGGATGGATATTTGTTCACTCAGGGAATTTATCCGATCCCAAGCTGACCCATAGAGAGAATTGTTAGGGCTGTCGTCGAGAGCCGGTGGGGAGTTCTTGGAAAAGAGACGCGATTGTTGTTGTTGTAGCGATAAAACCTTTTTTGCTATTCTCTCTAGTCGATTCTCAAGTCTAGTAAAGTTGTATTTCCTTTGAACCTGTCAAAGATTAAATACCTGTATTACTTTGTAAGAAGTAATTTATTTGTAAGAAGCTAAGAATAAATCCTAATAACGTAGGTCAGTCAGAACACATTTAAAAGCACCTTTTACACCCACCCACATATACATATAATATTATACTTGAAAATTGGATTTTTTTTTTTTTTTGCAAAACAAAAACATCTTAACAACATGATACTCTATATGTAACAGCACATTCTAATTATTTTAATTAAAACCCATAGTAATATAAAAATAAATTTAAATTATCACTAAATCCTTTAGTAACATTATGTAGTCAATTTTTTGTATTTAAAAACCTTATTTTACATTTGAAACATTGGATCAAAATAGTCTGAATAAATTCGATGATGAGGAACCCACTTTGAGACTAATAATGGCTGGAGACGGCTTGAATGGGTAATGAAGAAAAACT